CGGGAAGAGCACAATGATCACAATACCAACATGGGCCAGTGAAGCGACATCCTCCACAACTAGACTGAAGAACAAAAGGACAGCAACTTGTCTGTACCCCTTCCCTGATTCCCCAACGCTGTTCCCTCCTCCAATTCTGCAATAAAATCTTTGGGGGAAAAAAAAAAATTTGGTCCCTCATAGTTTTTGGTCCTTCATTAGATTTTATTCCTCAAACCTTGTAGCGTGAAATCGGCAGTACTTAAGTAGGAACGTATTACAATCGCTATTGTGTTGGGATGGTCACAGCCCAGAAACACGCATCAGATATATCCTGGACACCTCACCTGTGATCTCAGTGCCTCTGTAAACATCCTGTGCCAGTTCTTCACTGGGCCACTGCTCTTCGCCCTTCAGCTCCTAGTATACTGTGTGTGTGTGTGTGTGTGTGTGTGCACGCGCGCGTTCACGCATGTGTACACCCCTTTTACCACACTGCCCTCACAGCTGGCACTATGCCAGTCTGCTGACCATGCATGTGAAGGCCTAACGTAAAGGAACTAACTAGTCAGTTAACTACGCTGTCTCTATAAAGTGCTTGTAAAGCAGTGTTCAACTATAATTAAACTGCTTCATAGGTTAAAGGGTCTTTCTGTGGACTGGTCGGAGAATTAAGCTTTTTTTTTAGCTGAACCATCCTGCCCCCTGTTGGCAGCTCAGCGGCAGCTCAGCTCAGGCCGGGAATTGAACCACTGTTGCTCAGAGCTCGCACTCTTGAGCAAGCTCTTAACCAACTGAGCCACTCGGCAGGCCCTGAAAAAGATAAATCTTATTCCCCCACCCCCACCCCCACCCCCACCCCAGGGGGAATTCTGGCTATCGGAAAGAGGACAATGGGGCCTCCGGGGGCCCCCGCAGCTCTCCCGTGCCGGGCTGGCTGTAGGCTGGCTGCTTTAAGCGGGAGCAGCAGCACTGCCAGCTCTGCTCACAGCTGCAGGAGTACTAGGGAGGGGGAGCGTGAGGGCTCTGCAGGCAGGCTGGCCCGGGCTCAGTGTGGGCATGCTGCTAGTTCTCGCTCTCACAGGGTGGCTGGGAGGCTGAACGAGTCCCGATGAGCAGTGTTCAGCGCCGTGCAGGGCATGTGACACGGGCTCAACACACCCAGCTCTGCTCCACCAGACGGCCTATGCCAGCTTGCGCTGCCTCGTAATGGACCTTCCTGCAGCGCCAGCCCAGACCAGCCTGTGAGCACACTGCCTCTGTGAGAGCTCGTCTGCAGATGTCACCACAATGAGTGACGTGAACAAGCAGTCTTGCTAAGGCAGGCCTGGGGGTTTCTACAAGGACTCCAGAACCCTGATGGATCACACAAAGACGTTCCTCATTAACTGATAGAACTTAGGAATTATGAAGAGTATGAGCATCAAAACAGAAAAATACCAGAGGACACAAGACAACTTCAGGGTTATTACATGACTGTCAGCGGTTAAACTTCACTTGGCCATTTCTGGGGCAACCCCACCCTGGTAGAGTGTGAGAGTATGTGTGAGTGAATGAGTAAGAGTGTGTGAGTGAGTGTGTGTGTGTGTGTGTGTGTGTGTGTGTGCGCGCGCGTGTGAAAGAGGAGAGGGCAAGTGTGTATGAGTGTAAGGTATTTCTCATTCTCTCCCTAAGCACGTCTGAATTCTGATCCACTCATGAAAATAACAGCTGGTAATAGTAAGATTTTAGAGGGTCAAGTGCCAGTCCCCTCAACAGCTCCGTAGCCTCTGATTTTGTTTATTCACATGGAACCATGTGCGATGCTATACACCGTAAGTCAATCCCTACATTTAAATGAGAAGGTGATGTGATTCCCTGCCCATAACCATCATATGGCGAGAACGTAAAAGCCGACATCGTGACACTTTACCTTTCACACGTGTAGCACTCGCAGAACTCATTATTCTCTCCAAAAAACCCATCTCCATAGTAACAAGATATTTCTTCTCCAGGTTCAATATCTCTCAGAGCCTTCACACATGCTGTATCGCGACCAGTTGACACAAACTGAAATAAAATTAACTCACTCAGAAACTTGTGCTTGAAGCAGAAACTAAATACTTGAAATAAAAAAATGTTATGCTTACCTTACAGTTAGGTCTGCAATCTGAAAAATGTCCAAAAGATAAAGTCAATTAACTGTAGATAAGATCTGAAACACGAACAATTACAGAAATCTGAAATAAGCTTTCCGTATAATTTTATGACTTTTGATAGATGTTTAGGTCTCAAGTAAACTACAAGAATATTTATTTTAATAACACTGGGGGAAAAATATACTTCCAACCCACCTTTAAGGAAATATAAAGGTCTTACTCTGCTTGAAACGATCATTCTAAGTTTTAGCAGTACTGCCCCATACGAGAGCTAACGCCTGAGAAATGTCGCTTACCATGGTTTATAAATGCAGCAGGACCAAGCCAGAGCTGAGCACAGTTTTTCCTTGTGGAATACATGACACTGAAGTCGTTTTCTCCATGTCTAAGTAGCATGTTCTCCTCAATTTCTGAAAGTTCGGCAATACAACCCACCAGTAATTCTATTTTGTCATTTCGTTTCCTATTTAAAATATGTGATGTTAAAAATTACTAGTAATTATAAATAATAAGGCTGCTTTTAATAAACTAAGCCTGCCCAATAAACACAAAGAATGGAGACCTAGCCATGCATACTTTAGCTGATGCACTCAGACCCCCACCTGGAAGCCGTGGGTACCTGTGCTGCTGTCTTGTCCCTGTAAGAGGCTCCAGTATGCAGGACGGGCCCTGGGCTACCTATGTCACAGAGTCCCCTGTGGCCCCTGGCCTAGTGTCTTGCAAACAGGAAGGACTCAGGTGCCTGCTGCACTGACTCAACCTGCGGCCACAGGGCGAAGGAGACAGGGACCAGTAGGAGCAAAGGGTTATGAGGACCCGGAACTGGGATGCCACCCTCTGGAGCAGCACCGTCCCACAGAAGTGTAATGCAAGACTCTTCAATTTTCTAGCAGCCACATTAAGACAGTTAAAAACAGGTGAAACTACCTTTAGCAATATATTTGAACCCAATACACCCCAAATACTATTTCAGCAGCTAACCAGTATAAGAAATATTAAGGAAAAACATACTTTAGTACCAAATCCGGCATGTATATCACATATACAGCATTTCTCAGCTCAGACGAGCCACGTCACAGGCTATGCAGCCACACACAGCTGGAGGCTGCTGTACTGGACAGTGCAGCGCTCCCTAGAACCCACAATTGCAAGCTCCACTTGCATCTGTAACACGGAGTCGCGGCAGCTGACGAGCAGGCTCGCCAACATCCCAAGACAACACACACTCATGTCCACACCACCCCAGCCTGGGAGTGATGCTCTCTGCCCACTCCATTTTCAGGCACTTGAGCTTAAACTTTCTGCTATAAAAAATATTGGGGTGGTATAGAGGAGGGAGCTACATGTTTCTTTGGGAAAAAGGTAGGGAACCGGCATCAGAGCAAAGAAGATGTGGTCACATATTCTCTCTTTCATGTATGGCTGTCATCCATCCAAGGAGGGGTCAACTTGACTACTTTTATTTAAGCTGGCACATGCGTATTTTTAAAGCAGGACGCACCGGGAAGTTCCCACCCATAAAATTCCTAGGACCATGAAGGCCTCAGGCCTACCTCTTGTCTAGGCCAGTAAAGGACTGCTCTGGATGCCAGGTTATCCAATCCCACATGTCTAACCTTTCAGCAGTCCCATCACCGAGCAGGCATCCACCCAACAAAAGGAAAACACAAAGTACTGTGGCTTAGACACAGGATCTGATTCAACTCAGACTTCTAATTCCAGTCAATAGAGACTGCAATCAAGAACAATCGGTATACCCCGGTCGTTGGGCCAAGACACTGGCCCTTTTAGGGGAGCTCTGGCTTCATTCCTTCCCAGGACTGTCTCAGCACTTGAACAGTAATTTAAGAGAGAATTTTAAATACGATTATTTACGGCTTTATACTAGTGTAATAGTTACCACTCTTTTGTTGCAACTATTTTGGCTCCATTTTGTTCTGATGAGTATCTATTACAAGGCAATATTTCGAATCCACTGTCAGTTGCAAACATTCGCAAGTAAATGAACACCTAAAACAGAAAAAAATAATTGATATTAACTTTAAATTGTTTATCCTGCTAAACTTTTTCAGAATTATAAAAGCAAACCACCAACAACAATGTAAAAAGTTGAAGATCATTAAGTAACAAATTATGCTGGTATTTAAAAATTTTATATATTTGAGTACTACCTAATGGCTTGGCCGTGTTACCTTAACATTTCACAACGAATCTCACTTCTAGATGACAAAGTTCTTTCTTTGGCTAGTCATACAAGTGATCTTATATGTTATTAGATCTTCATATGATTAGTTTGATGAAAAACTGATTTAAAGTTTCAGTGTTAACTAAGATTCAGGCTTTAGTTTCCTTTACTCTTAACCAAACAGATAAATAGTATTAATCTATTAATGAACCTACATGTTCCTTGAATAATTTTTCCTGCATTTTGTTTTTGTTCAGGAAATAGTGCCGTGCCCATTCGCCTGAAGTCAAACATTTGAAGGCTTTTTCCAAGTGCTCATCTTTCTTAAAACGTTCAATGACTTCCTTTAGTTCTTCTTGCCTTCCTTTAATAGGTCGAAATCTGAAAAAAATCAAAATAACTTTAATTATGTGCCATCATCTTTGTGCCACACTGTTAAGAGATCTTGAGAAAGAGATAGTCACCTAAAACCCACCAGAACAAACAAAAAGAGAACAATCAATAATCTTGATAATTCCTACTCAAGTAATATGGATCACCAGGAAATATAACTTCTTTCTTTAAACTGCATTTTAATACTTTTATTTCATTGTTAGCTCATTAACTGAGAGGTGACCAGATGATTCAAACAAACGGTGTCTGATTCAGGCTTATACCAGCCATCTCCTTTGGAAGGTACAAAATGAAAGACCTAGAACAGAGCTCATCTAACTGAGTGTTAGAAAGACCAGAATTTTTTAAAACATGCAAAATCAAGCCAGAAGAGTGCCAGGTAATGAGCTTCAGAAGAGTGATGAAGCAAACAAAATCATGCCATAAACAAAAACATTCTCCATGTACGCAGTTAGAAAAACCCCAGACTAAGCCTCCTAGTGGGTCTTGAAATACACCTTGATGTTCTAACACCAGGTCAAATTAATCTTTGACAACTACATTCAGAGAACAAATAGAATGCAGAGTACAACTCTAGCAACGCTATTACTAGGTTGGCGATGTAAGGAAAAACTGTTGGGGTAGAATTTTAAAAGGCGTCTGTTATAAAATCAGCTATAATGACTTCAGCATGTTACATTTCTAATCATATAATAACACCCTACACATTTATGGTTTAAGTAAGACTTAAGTTTGTAAGCCCCTCATTCTAAAGTTGTAGTCTTGATAAAACGTGTACTATAATTAAAGGTACTTGTTGGTCAATAATATTTTAGGAAATAAATCTTGGAATCTGATTTTTTAAAAACTTCTTCATGCAAATAAAAAAGTCAGACTTGGAAAAAAAAAAGGTACTTGGATCTGAATTTTAATATTTCTTCTCATGCCAATTTCATTTGGCTTATTTTCCCAAATAAAGTTCTTTTTCTAAACATCCAACCAAAAAAGGAATTATAGACATTCAAATAAAATACATTAAGAAAAAATATTTGAACTAGTACACATCTTACTCTAACAATTAAAACTGCTCGCCTCATAAACTCAAAAATGCTAAAACTGAGATAAGATCTAGCACAAGCTCCAGGCAAGGAAGCACTGAAGCAGAATATTTTCTAGAAAAGCTTTCATAAATGTAATCATAACATTTCAGTAAGATTTTAAGCCACAATACTTCACCAAGGATTACTTAGTAGGTGCCGTGTACACAAGGTGTTATGGTGAAAAATGACAGACGACATGGCCACTTCCTTCAGTCACTGACTGGACACCTCATTTTCCCCTGCAGGCCAGTGCCATTTTTAAGGTGTACATGAACAATGTTATGGTGTAAGAAGCTCCACAATGGAGAATTTAAGCAAGACTAAGACATGCACATGCCTCAAACAGTTAAACAAGGCATCAATATGCAAATACATGTTAATAAGGTACAAACTACACTGCTATAGTGCTTGGAAGTGTGGAGATTAGAAAGTGTAGGGTCTGTTTGGGAAGGAGTTTTGGAGTTGACATTGATATGGACCATGAGGAGAATGGTGAATTCAGTTTTCTAAAGAAAAAGCAGAATATACTATAGGCAGGAAAGAACCAAAAGAAGGCAGGCAAAGTGAGAGGAACTCTAAGCAGAGGGTCTCAATAATGGTAGATTCCGAGATGAACAGAGGCTGAGGGAAATCAGCTGGCCAGCAACAGTAAAGGAAGCAGTAGAACGAGTAAGAGGGAGACATGAGGTCCAGAACAGGCATAGTACTGCTTCCTGGGCAGGACCGCTTACGGTCTTAAGGTACATAATGAATGCATGCTGACACCTCCAGGAACTTGTTAGCTACAGAAAGGCTCTAGTTGCAGCAAGCTCTCAAGCTGTTAATATTAAGCAGAACTATCTAAGAGTTGAAACACATCCCAGAGATATTATGTGAAGAAATGGACAATATCTTATTTTCCATACCAGCCCTGACAGACAGATGGGTGGAAGTCCTTTAAACAATTCAGAATGTCTTCAGAGTGTCAGAATACGATGTCAGAGAACCACCCCTATAATAATCTAAAGATGTGCAGAATTGTGAAAGTATCTAAACTTCCATGCATTTATAATAGTAAACTACTTCTCTGTAGATATCACAAGTGAGTTTTGTCAAGATTGGGTTCTTAAACCCTTCTTGCTGCAACCCTATGCTGAGGGTTATTTGCAAAGGAAGGAGGTAAAACCACCAAGCATGTTAGCTAAGGCATACCATTTCAGGCGATACAAAACATGAAACAGCGGGAAAAGGGTACCCCATGTTTTTGTGCAGTGAACAGAAAATCAAGAGTTCACTTTGAGCAAATACAATGAGTAATCCATGATGGTAGCGGCAAGGCTACAAACGACAGAAAGAGCCAAACAATCTCTATATACTCAGTGTGGAGTTGACCAGAGGTGACACCCTATTTTATTATTTTTTAAGATTTTATTGGCGAATTGTGGGAGGGGAACAGCGTTGGGGAATGTGACACCCTATTTTAAAAGAACTGCATGGCTCGGCACACTGGCAAGTCAGAGTCAGCGCTAAATTCACCTACCGCTTTAAGAACACGAGAGAAGCCCCAGGCCTGGAAGGGCCGCTGGCTGCTCTGACAGGCTTCCTGTGTGCTCCCCATCCTGGAAACACGTCCCTTGCTACCTAAAAATGCCTGTCAGCTGGGCTTAGTTTTGCTCACTCTTTGCTGATGATGCCCAACAAGCTGCACCTGAGAAGCACCACGAAACGAGCAGCTCTTGGCTTAGTAACCTTCTGCCTTCCGTGCTTCCTGCTTCTGCTTTCCTGACATCTATCGGCTTCAACACAAACACAACCCTCAGAACGGTCACTGGCCTCCCATTAACAAGAACCTCCATCTCACTTAACTGTAACTTTCTGTCAAAACTTACTGTCACAGTTGGCCACTATGGGCGTCAAATGACAGGGAGGCAAAGGAAGAAGAAAATGGTTCTGGGTGCAGACAGGAAGGGGAAAAGACTGTTATTTTCCATAATCCTAAGAACTACATCAACAGCACCTGGCTGACAGTTCGAGTCAAATCCCGTTATAACAAATACTGCGGGGAAACAAAAATGATTTAATGACATAAGACTGTTAAAACGATTGGGCCAGAGCAAAAGGCACTGAGGACTGCAGGGAAGACTACGATAATTTCCTATTATTGAGTAGAAAGATACCCTCTGTCCTCTCCTTCATCACGACTGCCCTAAATTTCCCCAATGAATTGCACAAAGTTCTCTTCACAGCACAGTTCTTAAGGTTAGACGAAAACTCAGACGATCTATGATCTAAAACAACCCCCTTTGTCCATGAAAGCAGAATGGGGCCCAGTTAGGGCTGGTGCAAGGAAGGCAGGCCTGTTAGCCAGGCCTTTCTGGAGCCTGCTCTCTTATGTGGACTCTGGGGCCCTCTTGTGTCGTTTCATGAGGACAACAGGGTCTGACCTGCATTTGCCATGGAGCACCAGCTGAGCCCAGCCAGAGACCGTGCTGCTGGTATTCCAACAACACAGCGAAAGGGGTGGCCGCAAATGAATACTTTCAGATTTAGGATCTGGGGGGGAAGTGGGGTGGCAGGGGAGGCACGAGAAACAGGTATCTGGCATTTCCAAATCAATATGCCCCTCCTCTCTCTCGTAACACAAAATTTATTATTTTAAATAAACTAAACATTTATTTTTCTCTCCCAACACCTCTGATCAAGGGCTGCTGTAAGAAATAAAAAAAAACATGTCATTTACAATTTACAATAGTTTCTTATTAAAAGGGGCAGAAGAAAACATATGAATGCACACTCCCACACACCTGTTCCCCACTCTTTCCAAGGACTCACTTCCCAGGTTTTCCTGCTATCTGGTTTTTCTGTTTCCAAACCCAAGAGAGCACTGTGGCAATGAAGGAAAGCTGTAGACTGTATTAGCTGCACTAGCGTGCCCTTCCATTAGCATGTACAGTCAAAGCTGACTGGAGGGAGGGAGAACCAGGAGGGGGGCAGAAAAGGGAGCAGGGGAAGGAGAAAGGGAGAGAGAGAAACATGCGCAAATATTTCAGATACAAAATAAGAAAACCATGAGGCAACGCTCTGAACACATTCCCCCTGTGACGGAAGTTTACGTGGCGCTGCTGACAGGAGGCCTTAGAGCCACAGCTCTGCATCCTTCGTTCCTTCTTCACCTGGAAACGAACCACTCCTGGAAACAGACCTGGCTGAGTCTGCAAGCAGCACTCAGCTAGTCCCATGGAGGGAGGGACTCCTGATCTTTCGATGAGAGGTTTCTCCTAAAATTCCCATTATAAAGAACAAGTGGTTTTTTTTTTTCAATATAGCTATTACTAAGACCAAACTATTTTAAAAAGTTTGCAAAATGTTCTAAAACTCCTGTTTATGCTGACACCTCCAATTACTTCACAGAAAAGAACATTATCAAGGCTGCGAGAGGTTAGCGGGCATCTTATTATTGTTTGTAATGCACTCTACCTACCTCACAGGGTTGTTGTGAGGAAAACTGTCAGATTTTGAAAAATGCCTTGAGCTCCTCGAAGGAAAGGCGCTATAGAAATGCAAACACAAACAACAACAATAAAAAACTATTTGTATAATTTGTACTCGTAATTTCTAGACACTTATAATATTAGATGTAGCAGAAAATCCTTAAAACACTGTGATATTCAAGAACTTTATGAAGCCATGGGTAGGCTCAGCACCATACCAAAAGCCAGGATGCTCCAATTCTTTTCTTCCCATATATCATCATTTTACCCTTGATTGTATTACATTAGAAGGTCTAAAAAGTTCTTTCTGCTTTCTAGTCAAGCACGTAACTTCAAAGTGACATTTAAAGTGATTTATAAATTCATGTCCAACAGTGGATATGAATAATCAAATACATAAATAAGTACAAGACAAATCAGAGGGTGACAGTAGCGGAAGGATGATAAGGGCTGTACAGGCTGAAGTCTGGATTAGAAAAACCAAGAAGAGTCCAAAGAAAAAGTGCCCTGACTCCTCTCCCTTCTTTACGATGTGACTTCCTGCTCGGCTCGCTGTTCGCCTGAGACTCCCCACTCTTCAGGATACTGTGAGCGCTCTGGGTCAGGAAGCCTAAAAGGGGGCATTAGTGCAAGCATCTGCCCCTGCTTTACAATCTCCATCTCCTCACTCTGATTTTTATAAAATGAGGTATTACTAACAATCTATTCTCTGGCTAAAAGCAAGAACTTAAGTTTCATAACTGACAAATGGAACTAAATCTATTTCCCAATAAACTGAAGTTACTATTGTGTTTATACCATTTCTAGTCATTCATGCTACCACTCTGACTGGTTAGTAAATATAGGCATATATTAAGATTGAAACACGTGCAGTCACAATATAGCTAGTTTGGGAAATTCTCAAATCATTCAGCATCTACTCTTTCTGAATACAGTTCCTGGTGGTACACTAAAGGAAGTCGAAGGGAGGAAAAAGGCATAAAAAAAGAGAAACTAAAACCTGACAATCAAATTACAGACGCAAAAACATGAGAACAAAGAGACCAGTTATACAAGCAACACACAGACAGCTTGTAGAATTAAAATGCAAGCTCCAATCATATCTTCGAGTCACTTCTTTTGTACCCCAAAGACAGAGAAGTCCATAAGCTAATAACTTAAGACATATTTATGATTACTCAAATAAAGCATTATAGATTTTCCTTATTTTCAATAAAATAAAATAAATTTTCTTTGAAAAGATGTAAGTCAACATTCTGGTCAATTCTTGCTCAAGAGATGAAGAACCAGAACGGATAGTTTTATTTTCAAACAAGCCCACTAAGATTAAATGGAAATGTATGCCATTCACTAAGATTAGTAAGTTTCATTAATAAAATTCTGTGTATTCCCCAAATTGATATTTGCCCCTCTAAGGCAGGAAGCTATTTAAATAATCTCTCAAGTTCATCCCAACTTAGCACTTCATTTTAGTGAGTAAAGATACATGATGACAGGAACTTACATGAAAATATGAAAGGCACATTTTTTACCTGAATTACCTCTTTCTGGATTTAGAATGTAATTGATAAATGAATCACACAACATCTTATTTTAATTTCAGCAAGGGACAGAATTAAAAGGGGAAAAAAGTGGACACAAGATTTTCCTCTAATCACCTTTACTCACCCATTTCTATCTTCCCCACCTAATAATGATCAGTGACTAGCCACCTGGTGACCAAGTCTTCTAGAGCAGTCGCTGACACTGGAGCCACAAAACACCAGTGCTAGTGTGACAGAGGCGGGAGTGACAGTGGCCCGGAATCTGCTCTACATGCTAAATCCCTATGCTTTTTCATCAGACTTGGAAATCCTCTGCCATGGAAGTTAAGAGATAAAGAAAAGTTGTAAAGCTCTGAATTAGTGTTTGGTGGCAGTCAACTGTGAAATTACTTAAGAGCCTTTTTGGGGGCAGATCTGATGTTCAAGGGGATTAGAATAAAGAAATATAAAGGATGACAGGTTTCAAGAGTGGTGTAGTAATAGTTTATATAGTACTCAACAAAGCACTTACACATCTATTTTCTTATCTGCACACCGAATATAAGCACGTCTTTAAAAATGTTCACTTACTTAGCTGAATGCTTAGCTAAATCTCAAAGATTAAACATGACGACAAAATTCCCTATGTACAGTGGCAATTAAAAGTCTGCAATAAAATCATGAAAAAACTGATGTAACCTAAAGTAGAGAAAAAATCATATACATTGTCAACGTTTTACAGGATGCATATAAGATTTTTCTTTTGGCTAATTATCATCGACATTTAAAACAGAAAATAAAGATGCTCCTCCAGCTTTACATTTTAATAGAAATATCCCGAGACAGAATAAGAACACAGAATTAAAACTGACAAGACTCTTAGAAGCTTTTCTTGGCTCACATGTAGAAAATACTTTTACAGAAAAGAACTTTCCTTTAATGTCATTTTAAATTTTGAATAAAAGTAAAATTAGCCACCTATTTTCTTAAATTCAACATCATCTGTTTCATCAGGATAAAGACTTAAAATTACCTAGTATTCATTTTGTGCGTTTGAAAACCTAAATAGGGATCAAGAACCAAACTGGTGGCTAAGTCATCGTTTTCACAGAGCTCCTTGGCAGACATTCCAGAAGATGGTACATATCGACTCTGTCCTTCAAATCCTGAATTACCATTACCTGTGAAAAGAAAAAGAAAAGTAACTCAGAATGAAAACTACTTAAATCTACCTTAAAAACCTTTAGTTCATTGCCCATTCAAGCTAGTAATCAAGAACTGAAATCACTTTTTTCCATCAGTTTTAGTAATTAAGAGTTTAGTACCTTTTGCATAAACATAAAACCAAATGCAGTAAACTAACCGAATTGTTGAGTATGTTGGCTAGCAGATGATGTTACCAGGTTTCCCAAGAACAGGGTCTGGACAGTTGTGAGGATCTTTGGCTCAGAGGCCTTACTGGCCCCTGCAAGGAGGAGCTGAGAAATGGGGAGAGTGGGGGTGTTCGCGAAGGTAGCAGGAGAGCATAAAGGGCCCTGACAGACACAGCTGGGGTGAGGAGGAACCAAGGGGAATGTAAGATACTCTCTGCAGTAAGTGCCAGAAGGGTAGCTCTCAAAAAGATGCCTCGAGGAGTTAACTCCAGCCTCCTGCTTTTGGGCAGACGAATGACTATTATTTCTCCCTCTGCTGGTAACAGGCCCAGAGGTTAAGACACTGGCCTATGATTACAGAGCTAGGAAGCAGAAGTGAGGAAAGGAGAGAATGACAGGCCTATTTCTAACTGACCTAACTGCAACAAATTTTGAAAGAATGGATAAAAATTGGAAAGTGACTGACATATACGTGTGACTGAAGTAACTGGGTTTAACTGGAAGACAAACAATGTGAAGAGAGGAAAGGGAGGCCAAATGTATGTATGAAGTTTCATCAGTGCTGATTTCAGTTTGATGTATAAGCCACTGACGGTCTTTTCAGGAGTCAGCCAAGACGCCAGCAGTGGGACTTGAAGCCTCTCAAAATTCAGACTGGAAGAGCGAGAGACACAGTGAGAGGTGTAACCTTCTTGTCATCTACTCTTTCAAAAAAAACAAAAACGAAACACTTACATGTAAGTCCCTGATAAAGGGCAGGTATATGTTTTGCAATCAAATTATTGCAAATTATGTAGGTAAGTGAAAGCTATCAAATCACTTTATTTTCTGTATCAGCTTTATTGAAATATAATTCACATAAAATAATTCACCCATTTAAAGTGTACAATTCAATGGTTTTTTTTCTTTAACATATTCACAGAATTGTGTAACCATTACCACAATCAATTTTGGAGCATTTCCTCACTCCCAAAAGAAACCCCATACCCGTTAGCAGTCACTATCCATTTGTCCGTCCCCACACAGCCCCGGGCAACCACTAATTTCCTTTCTGTTTCTATGGATTTGCCTAGTCTGAAGATTTCAGATAGATGAATCATACAACATGTGGTCTTTAGTAACTGGCTTCTTTCAGTTACCATAATGTTTTCAAGGTTCCTCCACGTTGTACCATGCATGCATCAGTACTTATTATGGCCAAATAGTATTCCATTGTATGGATGGACCACATTTTTGTTACTTCATTCATCAGCTGATGGACATTTGGACTGTTTGCACTTTTTGGCTATTATGAATAATGTTTCTATGAACATTCATGTAAAAGTTTTTGTTTACATCTGTTTTCAATTCTCTTAGGTACATGCCTAGGAGTGAATTGAATTGCTAGGTCCTATGGTGACTCTATGCTTAACCTTTTGAGGAATTGCCAGATGGCTTTTCAAAGTGGCTGCACCATTTTATGTTCCCAAGAGCATGGGATGAGGATTCTAAATTTTCCATATCATCACCAACACTTGTTACTATCTGTCTTTATGACTGTAGATATCCTAGTAGTTGTGAAATGGTATTGTATGGTTTTGATTTGCATTTCCCTGATGACTAATGATTTTGAGCATCTTTTCATGTACTGGCTGTTTGTTTGTATATCTTTGGAGAAATGTCTCTATTCAGATCCCTTGCCCATTTTTAAACTGGAGCTTATCTTTTATTGTTGACTTATAGGAATTCTTTGTATATTCTGGATACTAGTTCTTCATCAGATATATGATTTGAAAATACATTCTCCCATTCTGTGAGTTGTCTTTCCACATCTTGATGGTATGTATCCCTTAAAGCACAAAACTTGGCAACTTTGATGAATTTCAACTTAACTTTTATTTTTTCTTTTGCTCCTTTTGCTTTTAGTATATTAAGAAACCAGTGCCTAATCCAAAGTCATGAAAATTTATGCCTATGTTTTCTTCCAGGAGTTTCAGTGTTGGCTTTTAATTTAGATCTTTGATCCATGTTGAGTTAATTTTTCACATGTAGCGTGAGGTCGGGTCTAATTTCATTCTTTTGCATGTGGATATCCAGTTTTCCCAGCATCATTTGTTGAAAAGACTATTCTTTCCCTACTTAAATTTTCTTGGCACTCTTGTCAAAAGTCAACTAACTGCAATCATGAGAGTTTATTTCTGAACTCTCAGTTCTATTCCATTGATATATGTCTCTCCACATGTCAGGATAACACTATCTTGAATACTGCAACTTTGAAGTACGTTTTGAAACTGAGAAGTGCCAACGAGTCCTCCAACTTTATTCTTTTTTCAAAACTGTTTTAGTTATTCTGGGCCCCTTGAATTTCCATAAGAATTTTAAGATCAGCTTGTCAATTTCTGCAAAGAAGCCAGTTGAGATTTTGATAGGAACTGCATCCAATGTACAGATCATTTGGGGAATGCTGTCATCTTAACAATACTAAGTCTTGTAATCAATGAACATGTGATGTCTTTCTATTTATTTAGTTCTTCTTTAATTTTTCAGTGATGTTTTGTAGTTTTCAGAGTATAAGCATTACACTTTTATTGTTAACTATTTTTCTTTTTGATGCCATTGTAAATAAAATTGTTAACTTCTTTTTTGGGTTGTTCATTACAAGTGTATAGAAATACAACTGATTTTTGTATACTGGTTTTGCATCCTGCAACATTGCTAAACTTGTTGATTACTTCTAATATTTATTTAGAGGATTCCTTAGGGTTTTCTATATACACAATCAATTAGTCTGCAAATACAGGTTGTTCTGCCTCTTCCTTTACAATGTGGATGCCTTTTAGTTCATTTTCTTGGCTAATTGCCATAGTTAGCACCTCTAGTACAATGCTGAATAGAACGAAAATGGATTTTGTATCTTGTTCCCGATCTTAGGGAAAAAACACTTAGTGTTTCACTATTAAATATGACATTCACTGTGGGTTTTTCACAGATGTCCTTTATCAGGTTGAAGAATTCCTTTTTATTACTATTAGTTAAATGTTTTTTCCTGAAAGGGTACTTGATTTTGTCAAATGCTTTTTCTGTATCTATTGGGATGATAGTATGTTTTTTGTCTTTCATTCTCTTCATATGGTGTACTACATGAATTGATTTTCAGGTGTTAAACTAACTTTGCATTCCTGGAATAAACCCCACTTGGTCATGCTGTAGAATCCTTTGCATCTGTTGTTGGATTTGGTTTGCCAATATTTTGCTGAGGATTTTTATATCCATATTTATTGGAGATATTGGTCTGTAATTTTCTTTAGGAAGTGTTCCCTTCCTTTCTATTTTTTTGGAACAGTCGGTGAAGAACTGGTATTAATTCTTCTTTTAAACATCTGCCAATATTCACCAATGAAGCCATCTGGGCCTGAGATGTTCTTGTAGAAAGTATGTGTTTTTTTTTTGTTTTTGTTTTTGTCTTTCTTTTTTTTTTTAAAGAGTTTTATTGGGGAATTGGGGGAATGGGAACAGCACTGGGGAATTGGGGGAAGGGGAACAGACAAGTTGCTATCCTTTTTTGTTCTTCAGTCTAGTTGTGGAGGATGATGCTTCACTGGCCCAAGTTGGCACCATCATTGCGCTCTTCCCGGACGAGGCAGATCAGTCGCCGGCTTCTGCACGGCCGCTCACTGCGGCTGCTGGCCGCTCACGCTGGCTGTTGGCTACACACGGTAGCCCATGGCAACCCACTGCATCAGAGGCTGCAGCCTATGCCGTCGCCGGCGACTCACGGCAGCCCAGCTCCAGGTTGAGCTGTTGTTCAGCATCTTAGCTGTGGAGGGCAGTGTCACTGACCCTCATA